TATATCAATAACACTTAAACCATTCCTGCACTTTGCGAAAGATACACATTTTGGTGCTGTATCAACATAACATAGAATCACTTCTATACTTTACAATTGATAACGATATACATTTTAGTGCTATATCAAATCAATTCAAACACTTCCATAATCAACAATTGATACACATTGTAGTGCTGTATCAATGTCACACGAAATCCGATTTAGAGGTCCATCCCCTATCTTCCCCTAAACCGTGGAGTACATCCCCTATCTCCTCCCACACAACACATGTATATAAACATAGGTCATACACATTCAATCAATACATAGAATTAATGTATTATTCCAGTTGTTATATTCAATAGCATACTCAATGGATTAGTTTTAGTTTGCCTAATCATCATGCAGTATCTACAACAATCAAGACTATCCTCCACTAATAGCCCAAAGCAGTTATTTCTATACTGAAAATAAATGCACCAAATGGATATATAATCAACATTTCAACTAGATGAGCTATAAACAAATCAAACTACCCCCTTTAATCCCATACACATCCAATTCCAACATTTTCGATTTAATTCTTCTTTCTTTCAACTTAATTATCCCAATTAATTCATCAATGTAATTAGAGCATTTCTCATAATTAACATCACAACCCCAAGGTTCCATTTTTACCAATAAAACAATATTGATCTCATTTCTCTATGCCAAACATGCATACAAGTTCATATAAACAAAACCCCAACTTTTGTAAAATTACACAAAGGCCCAAACTTTCTCAAAACTACCCAACAGCCCCCAACTCATCAAAATACTAAAACTCAAAGACAAAACTCATGAGAAGCAGTAGGATATCCCTACCTCGAAGTTAGAGCTCAAACGGAGAAGTTGAAGAAAACCAAAATGCTCCAAACTCAAAGATCCACGGATCAAAATGGAGCCCTCGACGATCTACACACTTTTTACAAAGGCCAGAGGATAGAGAGACACTCTAACTAGATCGAACCCTAGAGAGAAGGGAGTTTCTAGAGAGAGGAGCTCTCAAAATAGCTTTTTAGAAAGTAAGAGAGAGAGAGAGAATGTAAAAAGTGATTTTAAAATGCCCCGCTGCTAACTGATATACGACATTCTCCTCGAGCGGAGAACACAACGCTCGAGCGTCAAGAACAAAAACTGGGTACGCTCAAGCGCAAGAAGGCCCGCTCGAGCGCCAAGACACAAGAATAAAGTACATGCACTCGAGCGCTAAAGCCAGTTCGCTCGAGTGTAGATTTCCCCCTCCCAGAACTTACACCAAAAAGTACTACCCCCTCGAGCGCCAGAGTACCCGCTCGAGCGTAAAGAAACCCGCTTGAGCGCAAAAATCACACCTGCAGAAGTTTTGCAGGGACACGAAAAACTTGGAGTGTGCAATCTCCGCTCGAGCGCAACAAAACCCACTCGAGCGAAACGACCAAAAACCTGGCAACAAGATTTTAGATCAAGGTTCAACCCACCTGTTCAAAACATGCCCAACACATCCTAGAATTCAAACAAATAGAATTAACGGATGACGACAAGATAGATACAACTACCAACTCCATGGAACCGAGTCCGGAATACAACAGAACAGTAAAGGGACAATCGGGATCGCTATATATTTCATAATCTCTCCATCATAATCTCTCTCTCCAATTTTCAAAAAAAAATAAATTAAAACTTGTATTCCTTTTTTCTCCTCCAAAAAATTAGATAATATTTTTCATGAAAGTTGTGAGTATCTGTCTATATCTTATATATTATATTATAACATAACAAAAAAAAAATTAAATCAGATATACAAACAAATAAAATTAATAAAATTGATTTTTATTTATTCAGTTAAAATATTTCTTTGGCCTTTCAATATCCAATTTGAAATTTTAAAAATCTATAAAGTCTATCTAAACAAATTTGATTTGAAAATATCTCACACTATCATACTTTAAATATAGTGATCCCGGTTTTTCCTTCCTTGTTTATTGTATTTCGGACTCGGTTCCGTGGATGTGCTGTTGTCTTATTCTCGTTCCCATACATTACTCTTGTATTCGAGTTTTGAGTTGCGTTGGGCAGGTTTGAAACAGGTTGGTTGTGTTTAGAAATAAAGAGTTGATGCCCAGATTTTGGCCTTCACGCTCGAGCGGGGCTTTTGACGCTCGAGCGGGCCTTTTGCTTTTGCTCCTCCGCTCAAGTGGGCATTCTGACGCTCGAGCGGGATTTTTTAACCTTCAGTATTTTTTCTTGCAGGTCGTCGGACGCTCGAGCGTCCACTTTCACGCTCGAGCGGGGACCTTCGTCTGCAGAACTTCTGGAAGTGTGCATTCGATGCTCGAGCGGCACTTTTCACGCTTGAGCGGACTGTGTATTATATTAGTCCGAATTTTAGCATTTTAAATCACTTTTGCGGGCCATTCTCTCTCTCTAGCTTTTCAAACCCCTAATTTGAGAGCTTCTCTCTCTAGAACTCTCTCTCTCTACATTTTGATCTTGGTTTAGTGAGACCCAACCCTTGTGCCTTCATTAAAGTGGTAGAGCTTTGTAGGACCTCCATTTTGATCCAAAAATCTTGGGGTTTGGAGCACTTTCGAGTTGGTTCATCATCTCCTTTGGGTCTCTTCATTTGAGGCTAGGATTACTACTCATATTTATGATCTTTGACATAAACTTGTGGTCATTTTGATTTAATGTTGAAGTTGGAAAGTTTTGGGTGTTAGGGTTTCAACATGTATAAAGAGGGGTTTTGTTCTTTTGACCAATACATGTGTATTTTGGGTCTTAAAATAGACTTATTGATGTTTATTGATGATATTTGGACCTTTGGGTCAATGTTAAAAAAATGGGGAGAAAAGCCCTAATTGATTGTGATGAATTAATTGGTATAATTAATTTGGGAAAGTTATGGAAATATGAAATTGAGTTGGAAATAATGAAATTGGGTAATTATGAGACTTAATTGTGGAGTTGGATTGATTAATCACTCACCTTTGAATTCGTTGATGTTTTATCTGTTTGATAAATTTATTATCTGTTTAGAGATAATTGCTTTGGGCTATCGGTGGAGGATAGTCTAGATTGTTGTAGACACTATATGTTGATTAGGGAAAACTGAAACTAATTACCTGGAATATGTCATTGAATATGACGGTTGGAATAATACATTAAATATGTGTATTGATTGATCATTGTATATGATAAGTGCTGGAATACATTGTATATGTATGTAATTTGGGAGGAGATAGGGGATGTACTCCACGGTTTGGGAAGAGACAGGGATGTACTCCTAAATCGGATTTGGGAGGAGATAGGGGATGGACTCCAATGATAACCAAGTTGGCCGGAGTGTCCAGGGTGAAAGTCCTGAAATCCTAATTGCGTTTGCATAACGTAGATAAATTGAAGTATTGTTAGTATGAGATGTAGTCTCATTTGAAATTGAATCGCTGAAGTATTGTTAATATGAGTTGTAGTCTCATTTGAAATTGAATCGTTGAAGTATTGTTATATGAGTTGTAGGCTCATTATGAACTGTTTGGCTGAATAGGGAACCACTTCTATGAATTGGTTCGGATAATGAAATGGAAAAAGATGTTTGTTTGTTTATATGAGTTAAACATTTATCAAATGCCAATGTTTTAGTTATTGCTCATATTATGTTTAGCATATCTCTACTGGGCGTTGGCTTACCGTATATGGGACATCATTTTCAGGTTCAGATATTATGCCGCCCCCAAGGCCTTAGCTTGGATGGTTTTGGGAGTTGAAAACTCTTTTGGTTGTTTTAATATTTTGGTGATACATGTAAAGTCAAGCCAAGGGCTTATTTGTGTAGAGAGTTAGAACTCTTCTTTTGTTGTAACCAAGTGTTGACTTGGAGAGTTGTAAGCCTACAGGGCATTTACTTTTGTTGTCAACATGTATTACTTTTTGTAAGAATACTCTGATGAATGGAAATATATTTTATTCTCTTGTCTATGTATACCATAAATGTTGGGTTTATATGTATTATTTTGAGGGCGTTACAACTTGGTATCAGAGCGTACCGGGTTTGAATACTTGGGTACGTGGGAAGTGGTTAGTACCACAGTGGGTTTGAGACAGGTTGAGCACTAATTAAGACAGGTTGAGCACTCAAGGTAAACAATGTTGCGCCCTCCTCAGATTCACCCAATTGCAATTTGAACTTGCCGACTTCACCCAACATAAACCACTCCCGAATGGCCACACTTGCCAAACTACTCACGGTTTTTCGACATAAGGCGTCAGCCACTACATTGGCCTTCCTCGGGTGATAGTGTAACTCAAAATCATAGTCTTCTAAAAATTCCATCCACCTCCGTTGACATAAGTTCAAGTCTTTCTGGGAAAACAAATACTTCAAGCTCTTATGGTTAGAGAAAAGCTCAAACTTCTCGCCATACAAGTAATGCCTCAAAATTTTTAAGGCAAACATTACTGCGGCTAACTCTAGGTCGTGGGCAGGGTAATTCTTCTCATGGGTTTTCAATTGTCGTGAACCATAGGCTACGACCTTTCCCTCTTACATCAAAACACAACCAAGCCCATCCCGAGACGCATCATAATAAACGGTGTAACCCAAGCCTCTCTCCGGAATGATCAACACAAGTGCCGTGGTCAACCTAGTTTTGAGCTCTTGGAAAGACTTTTCACAAGCCTTGCTCCACAAAAACTTAACCCCCTTTCTAGTCAACCTAGTCAAAGGTGCGGCTAATCTAGAAAAGTCCCTAACAAAGCGCCAATAGTACCCCGCCAACCCCAAAAAACTCCGAACCTCAAAAACATTTTTAGGTTGCTCCCAATCTTGTACTGAATCTATCTTCAAAGAATCTACAGTTACCCCTTCACCTGATACTATATGACCCCAATCTTGTACTAGGATGGACGTAGAACAATGAAGTTATTATTTGTATTTATCTGGTCTGTTGAATGGTGTGTTATTGTTATTAATTTGGGACAACGTAGGTCAATGATACTATGGGAACACTAGCTGGAGCAAGATACTGGGATGATGATGTCTCAGTTACTGTCATTCTGTGGACTAGAACCAATGCATGCTATATAGAATGCATAGATGCTATACCTAAGTTACAGGGCCACAATTCCACATCTGGAAGGACGGTTTGTAAAATTCCTACCTAGATCAATAACCAAGGGGTTTTTTTCAAGGCTATATTTTGATGAATGTTCTTGATTTGGATTATCAATACAGAGTAGGGAGCATTTTCAAATGGTCTTCCTCTAACTCAGTTTGATAGGGACATAGATGCTGAGAGTATCAATCCTGGTGACCAGGTAAACCCTTGTTTCATTGTAACAATTTCTAGTTTTTATTTCTTATTCAAGTAATGTTCAAGCTCTCTCTCTCTCTCTCTCTCTCTCTCTCTCTCTCTGTATTCCGTGGAGAAAGATATTTGAGAAGACAATCTCCGGCATGTACCTTGGAGAAATCTTTTGATGAATGTTCTTGATTCAGATTATCAATACAGAGTGGGGAGCATTTTCAAATGGTTTTCCTCTAACTCAGTTTGATAGGGACATAGATGCTGAGAGTATCAATCCTGGTGAGCAGGTAAACCTTTGTTTCATTGTAACAATTTTTAGTTTTATTTCTTATTCAAGTAATGTTCAAGCTCTCTCTCTCTCTCTCTCATTTTCCTTGTAATCTCTCTCATGAATTTGCTTTCAGGCACTGACAACTTCACCTACTAAACGATTTACCACTTCGTCAAAATTTCAGTTCCTTCGCTGTCCTTCTCTCTTTCTACCACTAAGTTTTGTCTGGGTATGTATATTTATATTTTGTTTGCTCACTTTCTTTTTTACTCTCTTGAATTTTCATTTATTTCTCGCTTAAATCCATTTTATTGCTTAGAAAATTGAGTTAAAGAAGAAGAAAATTAAAAAGAAAGCATGGGTTTTTGTTACTTTTTGTGCTTTTGCAAACACCTATTCGAACTGGTATGAAATTATGAACTTTTATTTTTATTTTTTGTAATTGGGATTTTAAAAAAGATTGGTTGGAGATCGAGTGGATTCATTCATTTCTAGGGTTGGATTTCATTGTATGGTATTCAAATTTGGATCTGTAGCTGTAGATTTGAGCAAAAAAGTTTTTGGCTTCTTTGTTCGCATTGATTCGGGTTTGGATCTGAGTCTTTTCTCAATTCCATAGCTAATTCACTAGGAACAGAGATTTTCATTGCTAATGTCTTAAAAAGCTCCTTTTTTTTTTTCTTCATCTTTGTGCTATAATTGAATTTTTGAACTATGGATAATTGTTGATACAGTCGCGGAAAATATGTCTAAAAGGAAAGAAAAGTTATTTGTTACTTATTTTAGAATTAGTTCGTTGAATGAATTTGGTTCCTTGTTAGATTTTGTTTAATTTTTAGATTCCAAGAAACGCATTTGCTACAGTTTGGTGCTGTTCTTTTTCTTTTTTATTATTTGTCTTTAATCTAGGATTGTAGGTTTACATAACTATAAGTTGAAAATTGTGCTTAGCTGCATTTGTTGTGATATACAGCTCTATTTATTCAATAGGTGTTCCTTTTGTTAGCTATTAATTGGTGCTGTTTATTTGCATTTTATTTTTGTTTGATCATTTAGCATGGAGAAAGGTAAATATCATAGATGTAATTAGTGTTTGCTATGATGCTGAATGTGGAACATATATTGGACTGCATTTTTGGGAAATTTGATAAATTAGTTGGTTGAAAGGTGATGTCTTGTGAGATATGGTTATACTGGGTTGACAAAACTGCAAATTACCACTCAATTTGTATAGGCTCTCGGCTCAATTTGGGGATGATTCTATGTCATGATTTCAGCCATTGAACCAGCTAGTTTTGTTTGTTTACTATGGGTGGTGTTTTGTTTTAAGATACATTTTCTGGAATCCTATTTCCCTTAGACTTCGATATAATTTTATTCTGATATAGTTAATTTTATTCTAATATAACTCTGTTTGGTTCTCAATTTATAGCCATTAGAAGCAACCATATATATATATAAAGTTAGGTTTTGCTTTAAAAAGTTTGATATCAGTCATGTTAGCTTTATTTTAGCTTTATTTTCATCTCCATTTTTATCTTTGAATTGGGTTTCATTGCAAAATCAAGCAATGCCTTTATTCTCTTGTTCTGTATTGTGGGGACTATTGTGTTTTGGTTCTTAGTTCGTTAGACCCATTTTTTTCTTTATGCATACAACTTGTATTCTGAGGTTAGAAAAGGTATAATCTTTGATGGAAAATTGAGAAAATTGATTAATGGACTTGATATGTACACTGGCAGCACTCTCTTCATTTTAGAGACAAAAAGTTAAATCTCTTCAATGGCAATATTGACTAATAAATTACTTTTATTTCAAGCTCTATGTTCTTAGTGTTTATACAGCTTCGTGGGCACATTTACCATTGAACTCGCTTTTTGTGTTTTTGACACTTGCATATAGTTCTCTTAGAGACGGGATCTAGCTTAACATATAACCTACTCTTGATTCCAGATTTTCCATTTGACTTTACTTTCTTTGCAAGTGACAACCTTCTCTTGCTTCCCTCATGAACTTTAGATATATATATATATATTTTATTCTTAGCATTTGTTCAATTTCTATTTTACTATATTTGTTTTCAATAATAGTTCAGTAAAGCTGCATACCTTTTTGAAATTCATTATGAAATGTTTGGAACTGTTCTGCTGAGGACAAGGCTGCATATTTTCATGAACACCTCTTGATATTGTTGCGTATCTATGCAAGTGCACTGGAGAGAAGAAGATTATGATGTGTTGTACAATTGGACACTGGTGCTCCAGGTCTAACATTGTGATCTTTAATAGTTTTGGGACCATTTGTTGTACTTTAGGAGTAATTGGCTGTGACGTATAATATTTCTTGCAACAAATGATGCTTTTGGGAAATTTAGTTTATTCTTTCGTTGCGTGGATAATGCATCCTTGCATATGTTCACATGGAACTTAGACACACATTTGTTTGCTTACTTTTGGGACTTATTTGTTTTATTTGCTGACGCTGAACTGGACCAGAGAACTCGAGGTAAGAGGGCTACACTAGCTAAAGTTACTTCTGGTTGTTCTCGTCTATGTCTAATGCTTTCATTTCTTCTTTTCAAGGGATCAAAGTGACTTGCAGGTTATCATATTTGATGAAATTGATTCAATTTGTAAGGTAGGAACTCTTAAAATTTTAGTTGAAAGTTTCTCACAAGTTCTTGAAATTATGGGTTGGCAAAACAATTAGCTGCTATTATTTGCCATGGGTTCGCTAAATATAAGTTTTGGTGGTTTTATGATGAATGGATTTTTTGGGGTTCTCTCCCTTTTGCTTTTCCTTTGAAGAAAAAAAGTTCATTGAAGTGCACATTCAACTGTTGCTTCATTATGAAAGAACTGTTGAGTAATGATTTAAGTGTTTAAGTTTCAAACGGAGTAAACAATCTGAATCCTCAAATATATGTTCTTACATTATATCAATGTAGTCTGGAGAACTTCACACTCTTGAGAGCTTATCTAACAAGTCCTATTTAACATTCACACTTCTGAGGTCTTGCATTTGCCGACAACTAGTTTTTAATTTCATTGCTCAATCTGCAAATTAGGTCCTAACGTCTATTTTTATTTAGTTGATGTTAGTAAATATTTTTCATGATAGGTCAAGTTTATGAAGTCCAAAAAGGCCTTTTGATTTGGAGTCAAGTTTGTTAAGATACTTGTACCTTGATGCTAATAATTGATTATTATTTTTTATAACTGTTTTTTATTACTGGATTTATTTATGTTTTCAGTGTTCTAATGAGTCATGTAATTGTTAGCCATTCTGCAATCTCTTTTGGTGTTATGTTATCATATAAATTAAGTTAATTTGTTATTGTTATTAACGGTCCCTTATCAACAGTTTAATTATTTGGTTATGCAATTTATTCTTTGGCTTGCTCCTGCAGTCAAGAGGTTCAACTAGAGATTGTACTGGAGTTCATGATAGCATTGTCAACCAATTCCTAACAAAGGTTGGTTTAATTGTATTTTAATTTCTTTGTAATATTAATAGGAAAATGTCACTGTGGAAAAGCTACACCAAGCTAACAAATTTTAGTAATTGATTGAAAATTACTTGCGGTTTAGATAGATGGTGTTGAATCACTGACCAATGTTTTGCTGATTAGGATGACCAACAGGAAGGATTTCCATGATGAAGCACTTTTGAGGTGACTTCTACAGTGTATACCTCTTCTATGTTGTGCTAAACTAGTTTCTTAAGAAACTTAGAATTCGAGGTGATGACGCCCCAAAATCACCAAACGGCATCGGATTAGCATGAAACTTGGCACACACGACCACCTAGACATGAGAGACTTGTGAAAGAAGACGGGACTTGAATCGGGTTTCCAGTTTGGGAGACAGAGCCGGATTTCGGTCTAGGCAAACTAGTTCCTTAAGAAACTTAGAATTCGAAGTGTTGACGTCCTAAAACCACCAAATGGTGTCAGATTAGCACGAAACTTGGCACACACGACCGCCTAGGCACGAGAGACTTGTGGGAGAAGATGGGACTCGAATCGGGTTCTTGGTTTGGGAGTCAGAGTCGAATTTCGGTCTAGGCAAACTAGTTCCTTAAGAAACTTAGAATTCGAGGTGTTGACGCCCCAAAATCACCAAACAGCGTCAGATTAGCACGAAACTTGGCACACACAACTGCCTAGGCACAAGAGACTTATGGGAGAAGACGGGGCTCGAATCGGGTTTCCGGTTTGGGAGTTAAAGACGGATTTGGGTCTAGGCAAACTAGTTCCTTAAGAAACTTAGACTTCGAGGTGTTGACATCCCAAAATCGCCCAACGGCGTCAAATTATTACAAAACTTGGCACACACGACCACCTCAGCATGAGAGACTTGTGGGAGAAGATGGGACTCAAATCGAGTTCCCAATTTAGGAGTTAGAGCCGGAATTCAGTCTAGGCAAACTAGTTTTTTAAGAAACTTAGAATTCGAGTTGTCAATGTCCCAAAATCTCCAAACGGCGTCGGATGAGCACGAAACTTGGCACACGCGACCGCCTAGGCACGAGAGACTTGTGGGAGAAGACCAGACTTGAATCAGGTTCCCAGGTTGGGAGTTAGAGCCGGATTTGGGTCAAGGCAAACTAGTTCCTTAAGAAACTTAGAATTCGAGTTGTTGACGCCCCAAAATCACAAAACGGCGTCGGATTAGCACGAAACTTGGGACACACAACCGCCTAGGCATGAGAGACTTGTGGGAGATGACAGGACTTGAATCGGGTTCACGGTTTGGGATTTATAGCCGAATTTGGATCTAGGCAAACTAATTCCTTAAGGCCCTATTTGTTTTGGGCATAGAAGATGGAATGGGATTAGAATAGTGGTGGGGTCAACTTAATATTCTATTTGTTTGTAGAGTTCAACAACGGATTGATAAGCTGGAGGCTTGAAGATAGGCCTTGCATACAGGTTTCATAGGCTGCCCCAACACATGGTATTGAAAATTTAGTCCGTTGGTATTAGGGGAGTGATTACTTATTTACCCATCGTTGTCCTAGCTCATCCTTGGAAGAAGTAGCAAGAGGAGGAAGGAGAGGCAAAGAGAAGCTTTCATCTTCTTCATCAGATTTTCAATCTAAAAGATTCAGTTTGCCCTACTCATCCTTGGAAGCAACAACAGCAAGAAGGAGAGGCAAAAAGAAGCTCTCTTCTCTTCTTCACAGTGTGCCCTAGCTCTCTCTCATCTTCAGATTCAGTGAAGCATCTGCTGCATTGGTATTTTTTTTTTTTTTTTGTTAAGCAAGTTATTATGAACTTGGTGGTTGGAATTGGGTTTTGTTTCAAATTGGGTTCTGCTCCATCTGCTTCAAATTGGGTTTTGTTTTGTTTTTTTGTTTTGTTTTGTTTTGTTTTTTTTTCCATTTGGGGTTTGAATGATATATTTTTTACACATTTGGGGTTTTGATTGCTGGTAATTGCTACATAATTGGAGTGTGTTACAGGCATGATCAGTTTTTGTTTTGGTTGCTATTTGATTATTAACTTGGTGGTTGGAAATTGTCAATGGGTTGCTTTTGAAATTGGGTTTTGTTCTCTTGGCCTTTTTTTTTTCTTTTTTTTTTTTTGGTCATTTGGGGTTTGAAGGGTTGATTTTTTTTTTTTTTACACATATGAGGGTTTGGATTGCTGGTTAATTGCTACATAATTGGAGTGTTGGGTTGTATATGTTTGTCCATACCGTCAATGGGTTTGGATTAAATAATATTATTGTTCTGTATTTGTTAGCTATATGTCATCTTTGGTATAAATAAATAAATGAGGTGTGTCTTGTGGAGACATTATTTGACTGCATCATTACTCTAAATAAATTGCTTTGGTAGATTCATTTTATAAAAAAATAAAATAAAATAAAGAAGAAAGATATTTCAATGTGTTCATGGGCAATAAAAGTTTTTATTCATTGGCAATTGAGTTGTCTTGTAAATCAAGTGATGAAGAAACCAAATATCATTGCTAACGATAAAACAAAACAAAACGAAACAAATTCGACTCGATTCCTCCTTAATTTGTTTTCTATGATAATACTTGGCTTGTGAGATACGGCTTCATAATATATATACATATATCTTCTATGCTATTATATATGTGAAGGCTGTTGGTGATGTTAATGTCTCATATTTTGGGTTTTTCCAAAATACCCCTATAGTTGGTGCTTATGTAAAAGAAACTATATTAAGAAGAGGCTGAGAGTCAAAACCAAGATCATGTGTGTGACAAAGATGACACTTACTACTTGAACATACCATACTATGTGTGCATTCCTCTTTGTCAATATTCTTATACTATTATCTTTTTTCAAATTGCACACGCATCGCGTGTTTGGACCAAGGTTGTTAAAATCGGGATCCTAAGTAGGATTGGTGAGAGGGTCTGGTGGATCGGATTGTAGGATCGGATCGAGGATCGTAAGATTTTACTTTCTATTAAAAAAAAAGATAAAAATTAAAATTAAGATGATACATATTAAAAATAAGGTGAAAAATCATAAAATCTACGATCCTACTTGCGATCCTACCTACGATCCTGTACGATTCCATACGATCCTACACGATCCCATGCAATCCTACACGATCCTACTTGCGATCCTGTTATAACATCGATCCTACAACGATCTGGATCGTTTTGGCAAAGTAGGATCGTAGGATCCTACAATCCGGATCGCGATTTTAACAACCATGGGTCAAATGAGACTAAAAAAAAATTAATGGGGTGATTATTTACACTTTTGAGTATAATTTCTGGTTATCTGTCTTTTGATCTAATGGCAATTCATAATAACCAAACCTAAAACCACATTCCTTCTTCTTTTTTTCTCTTTTCCTGTTTTTCTGCCCCAACACATGGTATTGAAAATTTAGTCCGTTGGTATTAGGGGAGTGATTACTTATTTACCCATCATTGTCCTAGCTCATCCTTGGAAGAAGTAGCACGAGGAGGAAGGAGAGGAAAAGAGAACCTTTCATCTTCTTCATCAGATTTTCAATCTAAAAGATTCAGTTTGCCCTACTCATCCTTGGAAGCAACAACAGCAAGAAGGAGAGGCAAAAAGAAGCTCTCTTCTCTTCTTCACAGTGTGCCCTAGCTCTCTCTCATCTTCAAATTCAGTGAAGCATCTGCTGCATTGGTTTTTTTTTTTTTTTGTTAAGCAAGTTATTATTAACTTGGTGGTTGGAATTGGGTTTTGTTTCAAATTGGGTTCTGCTCCATCTACTTCAAATTGGGTTTTGTTTTGTTTTTTTATTTTTTTTGTTTTTTTTTTTTTCCATTTGGGGTTTGAATGATATATTTTTTACACATTTGGGGTTTTGATTGCTGGTAATTGCTACATAATTGGAGTGTGTTACAGGCATGATCAATTGTTGTTTTGGTTGCTATTTGATTATTAACTTGGTGGTTGGAAATTGTCAATGGGTTGCTTTTGAAATTGGGTTTTGTTCTCTTGGCCTTTTTTTTTTCTTTTTTTTTTTTTTGTCATTTGGGGTTTGAAGGGTTGATTTTTTTTTTTTTTACACATATGAGGGTTTGGATTGCTGGTTAATTGCTACATAATTGGAGTGTTGGGTTGTATATGTTTGTCCATACTATCAGTGGGTTTGGATTAAATAATATTATTATTCTGTATTTTTTAGCTATATGTCATCTTTGGTATAAATAAATAAATGAGGTGTGTATATGTTAGCTATTTGTTGTTTAACTGTCAATTTAAAATGTGATTTTTTAGTTGATTCAAATGGTTAATTTTTTTTATTTCTTTGATGGGTTTTTAGTTTTATGAGAATTAAAGTCTTCAATTCCATTATTGGTTATATATATGTGAAAAGAGTGTTCAACATGGACCACACTAAATACAGCAATAGTTTTCATTTACAGCCATATTGGTTGTAAAATTTCCTCTTTACTACCTTTATTGAAATTACAGAAAACGGATTGAAGAATTTCTGTGAAGGACTGCAAGTTGATTTCTTTCTCTCTTTTTAGTTGATGTGTTAGTGTATTTTCTGTGTGGGACTACAAGTTGATTTGTTTCTCTATTTTGAGTTGATGTGTTAAAGGCATAGGAAGCATCAATTTCTTTCTATCACTACATTCCATATATCAAGAATATATATATATATATATATTTGGGTGGTAAATGGTGAAATTTGGCTAATGGAAAAACTGGATTTTTATTGAATCCCATACGAGCATTGTTGAATAATTTCTGTTAAACCCCATATTGGCTAATAGAAAATTTTATTTGGACAAGATATCCTATTTTAAGTTTCACTCCATATAAGTTCTATAGTTTCTATATTTTCTCTTTCCCCTGTTTTACACTTGAAAATACTAATTTGCCATCATGTGGTAGAACTACTCAATTTCCATCTAGAATTTACTATGCAGACCACATCTGAGTAATAAGGTTGAATGATTTTTAATAAAATATGATAGTCCATTTTGGTTTTCAAGGT